ACAAAGACCGTAAGTATGCTTTCAGACCTGCAATATTAAGGCAACTTCTATGCTTCCAAACTATATCCCAGGTGTCATATCTAACAACAAATATTTGGAGGAGTTATCTTGCAACCCAAGGTCCTGATAAGCAAACATGTACAACAAAACCTACAAATTTCACAAAGATGGACTTTTAATTTATAGTGCCATCTCAATCAACTGCAACCTTCTCTGGTTGGTGGCGGTGAGCATGCCAGGCAGAAGAGTAAGCTGAAAGTGCTGATCCAGTAATGGAAAACGAGTTCTTAGCAAGGCCTGCACTTTTCTTTGTGGCCAGCCATATGATCCAAAAGAATCCGACCCAACCTGATGATTCAAAGGAAACTCTCAATTCGCAGGCAGTAATATTGGGAAAAAACTAAAATAGGTTTGAACAAGTTTAAAATTCAGTACTGAAATTCATTATAACTAGCCATTAGTTAGATATAGAAGCATTCGTTGAGTATTTATGGTAGTACGAGCCATCATCTGCAGACAGTTACTGACTACATGGTGACTAATAAAAATTGTTTGGAAACAATGATAAAATGAATGGAAAAGGAAGAGTGGCCAGACTTCTGTCTCTGCATGTGAAGAAGCACCATCTGTCTTCCTATTTCTAATTAATAATTAAGAGACAACCAGAGACTCAGTTTGAGCACTTTTTAAAAAAATAATAATAAAAAGTATAAAACTATTAAGCACCAAGGAGGTTCAACCCATTTACAAAAAAATTACATGCTCCTTAGGCAATTAATCATATAACCAAAATCTTCCACCCGGTACATGTCATGACCCAACATTAATGCACCAAACAAATGAAACATCTATCTCTAATTCTAAACATGTCATTTTCGACCCTATCAAAAGCCCTCTTATTCCTTTCTTTCCAAATAATTCAAAAAATAGTCAACGAAATTATACCAAAGAATTTACCCTTCCTTCCCAATCCCTTCCACACCCCAATTTCCCCTCTGACCTCCCCAGCCTTCACCCATTGAACCCCCAATAATAGCCCATAGATCATAAACCAAATATGTTCAATATCTGGGCAATGCAGTAGTAGGTGACTACACATCTCAGCTTGGCTTTTACACATGTAACAACAGTAAACCATAACCTGACCTCTTTTCCTCAGGCTATCCATGCGAAGAAAGCAATCTTAGGTGGAGTATGACTCAGTTTGAGCATTCTTATTCAACCAGCAAGGATATTTTCGTAAAATCAAAAGGTACAATTAATTTCAACCCAAATTAATTCATTACAGTTCATAATCTGCCAAGCTTAAACAAATTTCATAAAAGCCATGTAGATCTAACATCACCTTAAAGTAAAAACTCAGCATTAAGGAATTTGTACAAGCTCCCTGACTTAAAAGCCAAAGGTTTAAGACAAAAGAAAGAATAATCTAAAAATCCTGACAATTAAATTAAATATAAATTTCAAATTTCAATACCTAATATCATAGACATTTCTGAAATTCGAAAACAGCAAGTGATAAGGAGAAGCCCGACAGTAAAACCAACATTATGAAAGAGAGGCAAGAAGAATTCAAGGAGATATACCTGTCGTTATAAGAACAGCAATAATTGCCGAAATTGTTGCAGTAGAAATAACAAACACAGCAACTGATAATGCTACAATGTAGATAGCAGTCACACAAGCGAAGAAAAAGGCCAAGAAACCCCCTGCTGCAGCTAAAGACATTAGCAGGGAGATAACAATGGCATTGATGGTAGCAGCTAGAAAGAAAAGGAAAAATACAAGCAATCCTGTCATAGCAAGAAGAGCAATAGTCCCAACCTGCACAGAAAATTTTAGATATAATGAGAATTTTGCATGGCATAATGCCCAGCTACCCTCCTAATCACCCAGCAATCACTCTAATCACCAGATTATCAAAAAGAAAATGAAGTAAAACAATCTTATACAAAGAAACGAATAATCAGCTTGGACAAAAAAGAAAGAGATCAGTAAGGCCACTGAGTTCTAGATTTGCTCAACAGCATTCTGGTATTAGTCCTTTATAATATTTGGGACTTGAAACGTCTTTAGGCATCCGTATTCAGGGTTGACATTAAATCCAAAAATATGTAACCAGTAATTTCTTTATACTCAAAAAACTAACCCCACAACAATTTACATAACTAATCAATTCTAAAACAATCAAGCAGGCTAACCTCATTAATATTTGACTAGAAAATTCTTTTAGCACATCATCAACTCAAGAGTCACAGACTACAACAAATTTCTATACATCACCTATGCAGCATCATTTTCAAAACCATGTCTGTTTCTTCTGCTTTTGGTGCTTTGAGATGGGCAGTCAGTTAAAATTCTACTCCCTCTATCCCACAAATTTTTGCCATCTTTCTGAAAATGGATATCAAAATGTTATTTTGTGGAGAAAAACAATTATCAGAGAGGAAAGCACAATATCGGAAGAGTAGCTATCCTCTCTAAAGAAAGAGAACAAGAAAAAGAAAATAAAAGAAAAGGATAACAATTGAATACAATTGATAAGATGATGGTGAGCCAATCTATGACAAGTAGATAATAAATAATCTTAAAAAACCTGTGTGCCTTTACCCAATGCAGCACCAAAAGAGACACCTTATCTCAAAGAAGAGAAAAACATATACAGGATCTTTAAAATTCCTGAAGTTTCTCTCCTACCAGATCACCCACACCCTCGCAAAAATAGCCCCATGAAGTAAAATCTGAACTGCCTTCTCCAACCAATCCTATGGAAATAAGAGAACAGAAACCCCTCAAGATGAAAAAGAGTAACCCGCAAAATACCAAAAAATTATCAAATACAAGGGACTAAATTCTCCAAGCAATATCACAGTGCAGGAAAAGATGAATACGAGATTCAGCTCTAAAGCACATCACAGGCATCCCCGAGGAAGAAGCATGATTCAGTCTTTGAGCTGAGATAAAATCATTAATATTCAACCTATGCATAATTATAGTTTGTATAAAGGACCTAAACCTTGCAAGGGACAAGAAACCTCCCAAACCCACTTATCAAAAGAATCATGGCAAATAGAGGGATTATGAGTTGAGACATCGAAAAGAACTTGCACGTAACATACTAGAGAGTCCAAAAACCAA